CATTGGACATAATATTTTCTTTGCCTCATAGTTACGAATAGGTAATGTATTATCTTCAGGAAGCATCTCCTTCAACAACTCCAATAATTTGGTGAAACTTTTATCAGTCCATCCATTTCTTGCTTTTAAAGTAAACAATTTTAAAGTTGCTGATAATCTTGTAAAACTACATCCTATGTACAATTGTTGCGCAAAATCAGATTTCAAAGAATCATATAGATGTGCTTTCATAAAATTTTCTTCACCAATATCACGTATCATATCCTCTAGATTATCATCCATCCCTTCATCAAAATTGTTTGTAGTTGACACAGTTGGGATGTCTAATATTTCTCCATGCCATGTCCATATTGAATAACTCTTAATAATACCATAAACAAATAAGTGATCACGTATATCCTCAAGTTTATGACGAATTTGATTCAAACAACGAACACATGGACAATAATATGTCACTTTCATAGCTTTTCCATTTTCACTAGCAAATTTCAAAAATTTCTCAACTCCCTTTTCGTACTCTTCACTAATACGACGTGCATTCATCCAACTTCGATTCATATTATGTTATAAAGTTTTGTCACTCCTAGAGATTTAAAAATTATATGTAAAAAGAAATTAATATACAAACAACAAAGCACGTAAATGGAGTGTGTAAACCGAAAATGCAGTCAAACAAATAATTACATTCCAATAACAATCCAGTGGAGACATTCATACAATAACGTGATTGAGATCCCCAAAAACAATCACGGATTCAATTTAAACATATAGAAATGACATAGAACACTAACCTCGAGTGTAGACGAAAAATGATTTCAAACTCGAATCCAATCGGGGAGAAATATCAAGTTCGTAAAATGACACACAATGTTGATGTTTTTCACTGTCAAACTGATCGAAAATGGTGTGCAGAGGTAGTTGTTGTCGTCGTTCTCAAAAACCCTTGCTGCGCAAGACCAGGGAGTGGGTCTGGGGGGAAATAAAAGGGACTTTTTACGTCGCGCATCCCAGCACGCGATGTAAAAAGCCTCTTTTACGTCGCAGCTACGTGGCGCGACGTAAAAGAAGGCTTTTACGTCGCGTGCTGGGGTGCGCGACGTAAAAATTTTGTCTCTTATTTACAAAATTGCCACCGCGTTTTATTTATGTCAAATATTTTTACATGCGACGACAATTGGGTGACGTAAAAGCCCTTTTTTTCACTAGTGAGTTGGAAATAATTTATGATGCTTAATACATTTGGCACATAAATTTGTGATAACAAATATAATTATTCAATCATTGATAAAATTGTATATCATTAAAAATGATTTTTTTCTTAATAAATATATATTTTTTATATAAAATGAAATTAATGATATTTATGAATCATGTCATCACAATTTGCATATCTAATAAAATAATAAGAATAAAGAATCAATGACATTTATCTTGAGAAAAAATAGATCTTTATATATTCATGCATCTCACATTGTCATTTTTCACATGTCAATATAATAATAGAGAGTGAGAAATATGTTTATACGTCTCATTATTGTATGAGTATTTTTTATTTGGATGAACTTTCTAGGATTAAATATCATATTATTTATTGCTACATTATCAACAGTTCATATATATAAAAAATATTATTAGTCTTATCAGGATCATTTATAATTGTAATTAGCTTACCTTTGGATTGACATGAAGAAATAGTAAATCTTAATCATCTCTATGGTAGTGTAAATCTTGACCATCTCTATGGAAGTGAAAAGTTTGACCATCTTCATGGAAGCATAAAGTTTGATCACCTCTATGGAAGCATAGAGCTTGACTTTCTCTATGGATGAAATATGTTCTAGTACGTTCATGAATAACTCTTTTAGCTTATATATCTTGTTTTGTAACGAGTAAATTATATTAGTCATGTATAAATTTATCTTGTGCTGGGGTTACTAACACTCTTCTATGTGTTGAGGATCATAACTCTTCTACCTTATATGACTCATTCTATAAAGAGTTAATTATATGAATTAAATATTTTGTATTGCATGAATTTTTTTTCACAATATTTATATCATATCAAATAAATATTGAACACATATTTATATAATATCCCATAATGACAAGTTGGAAATAATTTATGATGCTTAATACATTTGGCACATAAATTTGTGATAACAAATATAATTATTCAATCATTGATAAAATTGTATATCATTAAAAATGAATATTTTTTCTTAATAAATATATATTTTTTATATAAAATGAAATTAATGATATTTATGAATCATGCCATCACAGTTTGCATATCTAACAAAATAATAAGAATAAAGAATCAATGACATTTATCTTGAGAAAAAATATATCTTTATATATTCATGAATCTCACATTGTCTTTTTTCACATGTCAATATAATAATAGAGAATGAGAAATATGTTTATACGTCTCATTATTGTATGAGTATTTTTTATTTGGATAACCTTTATAGGATTAAATATCATATTATTTATTACTACATTATCAACAGTTCATATATATATATATATATATATATATATATATATATATATATATATATATAATATTATCAATCTTATCAAGATAATTTATAATTGTAATTAGCTTACATACCTTCTCACTTTGTTTGATGGTAAAAATATTTTTTTTCAATTTTAATATTTATATCTTATTTCTATCATCATAATATAATTTTAAAAAATTATTAAAAATTTCTTGAGATTGAACAAGATATAGAATTATTTTCTTTAATCATCACCGATCTATAATAAACTTAAAAATATAATTTAGAATTATCCTTTTTTTTTAAATTGATAGGATGATTTTACCAAATCAAAGTCCCCGGTCTATGAGCTGAAATTTTTTTACCTACCACAAGGTATGCGGCACATGTTCTTATAAAAAAATTACAGTAACGAATAAACTCAAACAAATCTATATGGATGACGGTGAATTTGAAATCTATTAAGTAAAATTTTGTTGAATGCTAGAAAAAAGAGAGAAGTTTACCTGTAAAAACACTCCAATGTTTAAGTAATACAAAAAAAAGAATAATAATAATAATAATAATAATAATAATAAGATCTCTAAATAAGAATCAAATCATTTAAGGTATTTTAGTGAGATATCTTAAATAAATAAATTATATCTATTTAATATTGATTAAAATGGAGTAATTAAGTAATTTATTGTACATTATTATTAAAATATATATTAATATAGAAAGTATTTTCATTACGTAATAAATGCGAGGAATTTTGGAATTAAGGTAAAATACATAAATAAATATTTTTTAAAATAAAAAATATTTTTAATAAATAAAAATTATCCATGTAATTGTATTGCAGTTAATTTTTATACAGAGTTATGATTCCTAATTTTTTTTATACATGTGGTGTGTGAATGCATAGTGTAAAGTGCGTACAGTAATTTTAAGCACGTATACATGTAATTTCCTTTTTCTTTCTTCGTAGTGGTAATGGATGCGAATAGGGAAAGTCTTCGTCACTGATGGAAAAATGTTTTTACCAAAAAAGAGAGAAATAATTAAGATGAGGCAGAAAGAGAAAATTAAGGTGGTCGTGGGAAGAAAGAGAAAATTTGTGGACCGTTTAAGATGACTACTGGATCAAATCTGCAATGAGTGGGGGGAGAAAGACTTGTGATGATAAGTGTAGAGGGTAAAGGCATTAGTCTATCCTGGTAATGAGGATTCATCTGAACTCTTTTAAAATATGTTTTTAATTAATTAATTATTAAAAACATGTTAAACTATATTTAATGTTTTATTAAAAATAACGTTAGTCCGAGTTTATTATCCCCTTACAAGGTTGGTTTAATTCTAAGAACATAAATGGTAACTGTGTGCAAAAATGTTATATAACAGTAAGAATAATAGAGTAACATGGTAAAATTTTATTAGCTGCTTACCCTCTGAACGCACATTGCAGTTCGTGGCCACAAGTTAAGAACACTGATATTGTATAGAATGTTGTAGTGTAGTTGTGGTTGCATGCGTTTGTCCCCTCTTTTTCTGATGCTATGCTTGGCCGCGTGGTCTCTGCTGTAGCCATAGACTTAATCCTAGGGCTAATCCAAACTTCCTGGCATGGATTCACAATGCATATAAGTATATGTGCAACCTCCAATATCTCATCAAGTAATCTAAACTACAATCCATTGCATGCTCTTCTTCTTGTTGTCACACAAAACTATAACTTTCTTCTACCAGGGACTTGTTACCTTCAGTTTCAAGTGTTCTTATTATAGCTAGCTAGCTACCCAAGGTTCCCTCTCTTTCCTTTTAAACTTACTTCTTCTCGCAGTGTCTTATTTTTATCTGATTCCTAGCTTATTAAGAGATTACATTATTTGGAATCTTCCAAGTTCCATAATCATCTTCAAACAAGCACAGGTAAAATGATGGTCGTGGTTGTAAATCTATATATGAAGCTTTCAGCTCATGGTTGAACTTTTTAAATATATTGACTTATTTATATTTCCCTTCAAATTCAAGTGTGTACACGTAAAACTCCAGTTGCCTGTGTTTAAGTGTGTTTGTGGAACACATATTAGGGCAGCAATGGTTGCTGTTACAAATACTGGCAACATTTTCGGCCAGAGTTTTGCATAAAAGCTTAATCTTCTGTATAATATATAGAGAAAAGCATATAAATGCATGCGTAAACATCTTGTTTTTAGGGGTTTTCTTTTAATTTTTCTTAAAAAGTTTACTAATTAAAGGAACTATTACTTCCTTAAAATAAGTTAAAAAAAAAAGTCACATACCAACTGTGTTTGGTTTACCAAAATCTCACTTTTCATTGAACCTAAACTTGATTTTACATTGGATTGGTATTGATGAAATGTTCATTCAAACACAGCTACAGTGATCTAATAGAAAGTCTGCTGATTTTCTTGGCAATATATATGTAGTTTTTGGACACATACCGAATAATCGAATCGTTTTGTTGAGGCTAGTGTAACAGTTTGATCTCAAATGGATTACGAACCACCATTCCTGGAGACCTACAAGACCCTTTTGCAAAAACACGTTGGGGATTCAATGAATGACTACTTCTGCTCTACAGTGGAGAGATGCGATATACCTCTGATCGACCTTGGGAAGTTGAGTGTTGAGAGGGAGGAATGCATGAGAGAAATTTCAGAAGCTGCAAGAGAATGGGGTTTCTTTCAAGTTGTTAATCATGGTATTCCGCAGGAGCTGCTGAAGAGCATGCAGATTGAGCAAAAGAAAGTGTTCTATCAACCTTTTGTGAACAAGTCAACACAGCAAGCTATTTTCTCTACTTTATCTGCCAAATCTTACAGGTGGGGGAATCCATTTGCCACCAATCTCAGACAACTGTCATGGTCAGAAGCCTTTCACTTTTATCTCATTGACATCTCAAGGTTGGACCAACATGAAACTCTCAGGTATATATGCATGCATCTTCATTTTTTTCTTTGGCAGTATTTATCTTTAGAGAACATTAGGATGCAACAAAAATAGTTTGGGGCCAAGCCAACAAAAAGCAATAATAAAAAATGGATACAAATCAAGTTATTTATTATATTTAAATATAACATTATGAATACAAGAAAATTATTTTTTTATGATAATAAATATATTATTTTTTTTACTATAAAATATTTTAAATATTTATATTTGATTTTTTTTAATTAAATTTTACCTAATTCTCTAATATATTTAATTTAAGTTACCTTTTAAATGGAGCTAAAATGAGATACGAATATTCCAAATAAGAGTTATATAAACATAGCAGGAGTGCATTGTTTAATTACTTTGTTTCTTTATCTAGGAAACATACCATCCAATTATTATCTGCTTTATTTACCATTTGATCCCTTTATAGGTATTGAAATTACACCTCAGCATGCTTATTTTGGTGTACTGAGAAATAGATGTTTTAACTTATTATTGCTATCAGACAGCACTATAGTACAATAGTCGGTGTTCCTGCAACCTACCTCGTGATCATACATCTTCGTTTTCTTCACGAGCTTTATAAAGGTCGACAATTCACGTCACGTCAACTTTATCACAATACCTAAAATAAAAGAAAATTGAGTGCGTGATGTAAGATTTCCAATAAAAGTGAAAGTATTGTTTATTTAGTCTATTTGGTCGAAAAGAAATGGACAAATTTTCAAGCACGAGTCAGTTCATTATATTTATTGATTTTAGTTGTATTTATTTCTGGGAACGTAGGTTGTTGTGTGTTTTACCTTGACGCACTTTATGATTTTTCATCTTAACATAGATCAAGCCTTGAAGTTTTTGCAACAAGAATGTTGTCTCTGGCACAAAGCTTGGCGGAAATACTAGCCTGCAAATTGAATGCGAAATCGAACTATTTTCGGGAGCATTGCTTGCCGAAGACTTGTTTCATTCGACTGAATAGATACCCTCCATGCCCTATATCGTCAAAGGTGCATGGCTTGATGCCTCACAGTGACACCAGTTTTCTTACAATCGTACATCAGGACCAAGTTGGGGGATTGCAATTGATGAAAGATGGAAAATGGGTTGGTGTCAAGCCTCATCCACATGCTCTGGTCGTTAATATTGGTGATTTGTTTCAGGTGAAATCCCATTGTCACCTTTTCTAGAATCATGTTTCAGTTCTGCATAATTTATTCTCTTAGCAGTGCAAAAAAGGTATATATCAGTAATTTTTATATCGTTGTTTAATATATATTTTTCATTTAAGTAACAGAAAGATTAAATTTTAAAAAAATGTTCTGAGAATTTAAAACAGAAAGGGCAATGATTATGGATAATGAGCATCGTGAATGGGTAAAGTTAAACCCTTCCAACGTGATGATTAGTGAAATAGAAAGTATTAGCAAGGAGATACATATATATATGATTTCCAACATGCATTAAGGTATGTGCAGGCATGGAGCAATGGTGTTTACAAAAGCATAAAACACAGAGTGGTTGCTGCAGAGAAAGTGGAGAGGTTCTCAACGGCATTTTTCTATTGCCCATCAGAGGAAGCAGTGATTAAAAGCCAGATGAAGCCAGCAATGTACAGGAAATTCAATTTCAGGGAGTATCGACAACAGACTGAGAAAGATGTGAAGCACTCTGGGGATAAAGTGGGCCTCGCCAGATTTCTTTCTACGTAGACCTTAATTATCTTCACGTTTCTTTCATCAACACTTTATCAATATTAATTCCCTTAAAATAAATTTCTTAGTTTCACCCAATAAATATACCCACTTATTATGCGTTTGTATCATCAACTATCCTTGATGAATATTTCCTTAAATAAAATTATTAGCTTTGCTCAATAAATATCTTCTATCTGTTCACCAACATTTCCTTCATCAAATTGTTAGTTTCGGATAAATATATATTACATAAAAGATATTTTCTCTTTCGGTCATTGTTAATAAAATAATATTATTTCTATTATTGTAAAATAATATATTACGATATTATTTATTTAAAAAAGAGGAATCAGACAAAAGTGTAATAATATGGAAAAAAATATAGTAAATGTAAATAGTGGAGAGAGAAACATGATTCGTATAAACAAACGTCAAAAAATAAATAAAATAAAAAACATATTTAAAAAAAGTAATAATATAAACGCTTTAACGTCTAAAACAAATTTGCTTTCACTAATATATATATATATATATATATATATATATATATATATATATATATATATATATATATATATATATTCTTTTTTAAATGACACAATGATGACCTATGAAAGGCTGGTTCCAAGTAAAAAGACACAAAATAATGTATAATTGAATTATACTTACACAAACAAATATGTGAAAATAAGAACAATTAAATTCCATAAAACTTAATATTTTTTTAATTGATAAATACAATACAAACCATAAAAAATGAGAATAAAAATAGAGACATTCAATGTGCATACTTTTAATATTGCATTAATGAAAACCAACGAAACTGTATTGACTCAATAAAAATCAAAGAGATTAATTATTAACGAATACAATTAAATAATGAATTAATTAGAATAATAACATATATGTACATAAACTTCTTGTAACAACAAGTGTCTTTTTTTTTTTTTCAATTCAATTCAAAAATATACAAAATGAAAAAAAATGTACATGAAAATAAAATCAAGTTTTAGATAAACAAAGAAATAAAACTGTCACTACAAAAAAAATCGAAATTACCGACGGACAAAATCTATCGAGTAAATAAGAAAATCCGTCGATAAATACATATTACCGACGGATTATCGATGGTCCCAAATTCGTCGTAATTGTGCTGTAGGTAAAATTTACTGACGGATTCATGTCTGTCGGTAAATGTTACGGGTAATTACTGTCGGTAAATGTTACGGGTAATTACTAACGGATTTTTCGTCGGAAATATTTTTATTATTTATTTTCCTTATTATTTATTTCCCCTTTTTTATATTTTTAGAAGTTTGAATTATAATTTAGATTAAAAGAATTGTCACTGGAGGCTGATACTCCAACCACTAAACTATTAGAATTTTTCGATTATAGTTTACAATAAATTGTGTTATTTTTGCTGTTCAGGTTTTTTTGTTTGTTTTTCCTCTGAAGGCTTACCAAGAATAATCCAGTAGGTTTCCTTAATGTGTCCCAATTTCTTACAGTGATCGCACCAGAATCGATTTTTCTTTTTAGATGGACGAGATTGGTTCCCCCTTGTTGTCATTGTTGTGCCTTCAATGGGTGGGGTTGCGCTTGACTTTCCAAGCATTACTTTACTCCTATTTTCCTCCCTTCTCACTTCCAAAAATACTTCCCTGATTGTTTTAATAGATTTGGTTCCAAAGATTCTCCCTCGGACTTCATCAAGTTTTGTGTTCAGCCCTAATAAGAACTTGTTGATCCTATCTTTCTCCACCAATTATTTATCCTTCTTCTTATCCTCGACACAACTCCATTGAACATCTTCATATATGTCTAGTTGTTGCCAATGTTGACTGAGTGTATTAAAATACTCAGTGATTGAGAAATCACCTTGTTGTAGTTCATAGAGTATGCTCTTAATCTCAAATACCATAGATATATTGTCCACATTTGAGTAGGTTTCCTTCACTGCATTCCACATCTCCTTGGCAGTGTCATAGTACATGAAATTCTCCCTAATTTCATTGGTCATGGTGTTGAGTAACCATGACATGACTAAACTGTTTCTAGCTGTCATTTGTTGAGGTTAGGATCATTCTTTACTGGACACTTGGAGTCTCCGATGATGTAACCTTCCTTCCTTTTTCCTTAAAGGAAGATTTTAACTGAATGCACCCATTAAGGGTAATTTTGGTCATTCAATTTGTGACCAATGATAGGAAAAGCAGTTCCTTCGACCAAACTGGTGGTTGAACCTCCTATCTTGTTTTCTTCCATGGTTGGCTACGCTAAGTTAGGGATAATCTAGATCGAATTCTGATATCATGTGGAAAATATGTTTGTGTATTTTTTATTTTGGAAAATATACAAATGAGGTATAAATAGAATACAAAGGTAATAAACCTATACACTAATCTATCCCTGAAATCACGAAAATATTCTCTCTATAAATAAATGTTGTACATAATTGTGCATAAATAATAAAATAAAACTAATTATATTATTAAATTCTATCGTAATTGAATTATTCTAATTGATAGTGTTGATCTTCAATCATCTTTATCGTTTTACGTTGAAAGAAAAATATTACATAAAAAAATTTAAATAATTACAATAAAATGAAGAAAGAAATAATATTATTAAAAAACAAAACAAACTAAACTAAAGAAAAACAAAACAAGGTGAAATTACCCAGACCCAACAAATGTTTGAATGAAAAAAAACAAATTTATTTAAACTTGGTATTTTTAGATTACAAAACCAAAAACAAAAGAATAAAAATAAACAATATCAAAATAGTGAAGATAGAAACTTTTAAATACTTACAAGAGAGAAAAATGTATAAAAGTAGTAGTAAGCTTCCATAGGTTGAAATTTATATAAATATTTGTGTAATAAGCATCTCACTTTCTTATATATTCTTTTAATAAAATATTACCTAATGAATAAACCAATCCATTACATTTAATTTATTATAAGAGCAATTATATAATGCATGATAGATTATTTTTTTTCGAAATTATTTATAAATAAATAAAATAACAAATAACAAGTTTCTTTATAAAATAAGGATAGTATATGTATAAATTGAAATAAGTTTATAAACTAATTATTAAAAAAATCTACAAAATAATTTTTTTATAAAACATATTTTATTATTTTTTTATGAATTTTTTTAGATAGATGTACAATTTTACGTAAATAGTTTTTAGATAGATAATACTACCGACATACATATGAAAATAGTTTTTTTTTTATCAAATAGAATATAAAATATTTTAATTTTACGTAAATGGTTAATTTTAAAAATTTAATACAATTGATATAAAGTCGTATTTTGTAAAAATTTTGTGTAAATTTTGTTTTTCAACCGAAGTCATATTTTGTAATATGACTTCAGTTATATTCAAATTAAAAAAATATATAATTAGTCATTATATATTTTATATCTAATATTATATATTATAAAAAAATTGAAAATTTATATATAAAAAATATTATAAAATAAGTATATAAAGTTATTAAATATATATATATATATATTATAACATAAATAATAATGTATTTTGAAGGTTTATTCTATCGAATAAAAGAGTAATATTTAAATAATATTTCATGTAAAAAAATTTGTCTTTAACATTACTAGTGTGTGTATTTGTTATAAAAATATATAAATTAATAATTTTTTAAAATTTATATTTATTTTAGTACGTTATATATACTATTATTTAATTAAAATATTTATAATATCTATATATAAATAAATTTATTTGTAGTCAATCTATAATATTAAATATATATTTAATTTATATATAACTTTTAAATTAAATATAACTCAAATCATTTCAAAATGTATGTAATATAATGAAATTGTATTGCGTAATATAATTTAAGTTGAAAAGGCTTTTAGAAAATTATTTTTTTTTCTTCATATTACATATTATGACTTGACCCCTATGTGAAAATTTTAAAAGTAATTAATTTACATAAAATTGAAGTTTTTTTATCCTGATTGATAAAAAAAGTGGTGAAATTAATTATTCAAATAATATTTTTGTTATTATATTTCACTTTTTTTTCCTGAATGTCTAAGTAAGAAGCGAAAAAAATTAGACTTTGATTGTTAAAGGAAACTAATTGTTTTTTAACGGAATTCAATATTCATTCCTTTTATTTCTCACTTAAATTGTTTATCTAATTTTACATCACCAACTTATTTTCATAATACATTTTTTTCCTTTGTACCAGACAGGGTAAAGTGTGAAAGAAAAAAAAAAACCACTGTTGAAAAATAATTCTAAGTAGACTGGAACAAGTTAACATTATTTGATATTTTTATTATTTAGAGAACAATTTATTTTTAAATTAATAAATTTTATTATTTTACTTTTCATCAATTTTTTTTATAATATTAAACTTTAAATCATATATCTTTATTTTATGCTGTATCCTTTTTATCTATCATGTTATCTTCACTTATTTTTCTATCTCTATATCGAAAAGTCAATAAACATCACATTTTTATTAGAAATATGTTATGTTATGTTATTTGATATATTTAATTATTTCCAGTTTTATATAAATAAAAAGGATAAATGGTCAAGTTGATAAATTTATGACATGTTTTCAATTTAATTATTAAAATAATAAAAATGATTTACTCTAATGTGTTTGACAATAAAATCGTGTCATTAAAGTTTTAATCATTAATTTAATATTAAATTGCCTATTATTTTGTCATTAAAATATAATGATAATAATATTTATTGACTAATTCACACTTTTTACGTATTCAATTATTAAATTATAGTTTTCAAGATTTAAATTGATAATAACTTAGACTGAACTGCCCAATAAAAAAATTGATATTCTTTAGAAATTTTATAAAATTATTATTTTATTTCCCTTTTCATTCATTTTCCTTTCTTAATCAAATAGCCGGTCAGACTTTTAACATCGAACTATCGATTACAAATATAAATACTTTTCTCTTATTTAAAAAAAAAAAAACTGTTCATATCATT